CCTGTATCCCTGAGTGCTGTTTGAACTTCACATCTCAGGAGGCTGACCAAGCAAAGAGAATTGTGGGAGAGCCTATATTTGTGACCGAGATTGGTGGGCTCACTCTCATGGCTAGGGACTTCTGACAGGACTGTTGGAGGCTGCCATTTTGCATACAGTTGCCGAGGAACTCAGCGGCCTAGCCAGTGGCACGGACATCCATAATGTGTATCTGTTTAGTTTTGTCTCAGATTACTACACTGGGTGTTGCAGCTGTCCAACCTTCACAGCTCTTCTCAGTTCCCCTTCTACCTCTTCCAGTATGCTGACAACCGACTGTGAGATCATCGCTTGTTCTCTCAGCCTAGACTCAAGGATCTACACAGGGCATCCTGTGGAGGCTGCATCTCTATCAGGACTGGTGAGCTGGCAGTTACCCAATCCCTTTCTGTTATTCAATGTGACAGACCCCACAGGACAGGGGCTTTTGCAGGGTACTACGGGTTAGCCTTCTACCCACTGATTATGGCCCGTGGAAGAGACTGGGGATTTTGTGTGCTTCTCCAGGTCAGAGCATTGAGAAATGTCAGGTCCTGAAACCCTTTGACTGGCTGGGAGTATCTACTGGGATTATTCGGCCAGGAAGTCCCCAGAACAGTGGTGCATCTGAAGGAACATTGTGTTGTGCAGATGCACCTTTGCCATCTGGTGATATGAAACTCTTTTTTCTTATCTTGCCCCGGTTGGTCCTCAAGAGCTGCATAATGCAGCATTTGCCCATTTTGACCTGGCTACTACCAACTTTATACTGTTAGCTTTGTATATTATTTCCATCGAGCATGTGTCACTTGATAACCTAGACCTGAGCTGGATCTGGCGTGGAACATTAAGAAACGAGTGGTGTAATGTACTTTATGTATCTGGGGCTGTGGAACTGCTTCTGGGTATCAGCACACAACATTTACTTCAGCAATAGAGGAAACCTTGAGGCTATCATTTCAGTTGCGTGCCAGCCTAAAGCAGGCCATAGACGTGGGGAAAATCAGCCTTTTTTTTTTTTTTTTTTAAAAGTTGTAAATCGGTCGTTCAGATGGCTGACGTTGCCACTAATTAAAAAAAAAAAGTCGGCGGGTTTTAGTCCCGTCTACGGCCGTCAATTAATATAATAGCGGTGTCCCTGCATAGAGACCCGCTATTATATTTGACAGAAGAAATAGATTATGCAGAAGAAGAGAAACAACATTATCTATTTGTACTTGAACAGAAACATCTGTATCTGAAATGCATACAAATAGATACAATGTTGCAACTTTTTTTCTTCTCCGTCTTCTTCTGCAAAATCTATTTCATCTTCTCCTCTTTCTTTTATTCTTCTTCTTGATATTCTATTTTTTCTTCTCCTGCAAAAGCTATTTCTTCTATTTCTTCTTTTTCTTCATAGTCAATTTATTGTCAAATCGGCCAGAAGAACAGCCGATGTGACCATAAATTACTGTGAAAATCGGCCGATCTAACAAATCATCCCAGGATTTTTCAGCTTGGACGATTTTCAAAATCTCTTAAAATTAAGAAAAACGGCGAACATTTTTCCCCACTAATGGTACAAATATCGGCCGATAATTCAGCAAGAAAATTGAAAATCTATGGCCGCCTTTACACTACTGGCCTATCACATTCATCATCGTTAAAGGGCCCCAATTTGATAGCAGAAGACAAACTTGAACTGTCCTTAATTCAGGTCGATAATATATTAACATCCACCTAAGGGGGGCACTCTGCCCTTATATTACAATCCTGGCTGACAAGGGATATCTAGTGTTATTTTATTCAGTGGTCTAGAGGGAGCTGATGGATGTTTTTTTTTTTTTTGCGTTAAACCCCCCCCCCCTCCCCCTTTTAAACCAGAGTTACACTCTTAATGGTCCTTGTGTATGTGCATTCATCATATTCAGTTTGCAGAATATATTTGTCTATCACTCTCATAGTGTTTCTTTACCTCACAGTATTATAGCTGCAATTCAGTGAGCTTTGTGTGTTCTTCCTGCAATTATTGTTTAAACTGTTTAACTGTTATCCTGAGCTATTTTCTACCAGTGCTCAATATAACTGTGGTTACTATAATATTGTGTCTTTTGCTTTTATTGATTCCTGTGCCAATATCCTTCACAACCACTTTGGTAAGCACTGTTCGTTTGTCTAACCATGTCTGAACCTAGAGTGTCAGAAGGGTTATGGCTTGCAAGGTCAGGGCAACAACAGGAAACAAGCATCACATGTGGACCCCACAGGGGTAGCGCTACATAAGAAACCTATTTCTGCTTAGAAACTTTTATTATCTATTTTCCTATATTCTATACTGTAGGGCATCTGATTTTTTTGTGCTGAATCAAGCCTAATAAAAAATACTGTGTAATCAAACAATGAAAAATCTCCTAACGGTGGCATGTTGATGGCATGCATCATGGCATCATGCTTGACATTTGTCAGTGTAACAAAATGAAGTATTCTTTCTGCATTTCACACTCACTGCAAGCTGTTTGCTGTACTATGATCCATGACAATGGATATAGCTGGAGGAAATCATAAACCTGAACTGTAAAAATGTTCCCGCTGACCACAGCAGGAGACTGGCGAAAATAATAAGCTCTAATAGCATTTTTCAGGCATATTATACATGTTGCCAGAGACTTGTTCCAGATATATCTATCAGACATCAGGCAAGGTAATTGTGTAAGATCATTGTTAGTGATTTTCATTATTAGATACATAAAATAATATTATTTTTGTAGTTTTTAATAAGACAAAATAAAATGTGAAAGTAAATTTCTTTATGCATTTTTGCATGTATTTACTAAAGCTACAATCAGTAAAATTTAAAGGATTCCTGCGATGAGAAAATCTGTAGGCTTCCATTACTGAACTTTTGTTTTATATAAACTAACTGCTTGGCTATTATGTCAGTTATGTATGTTCTGTCTCACTGAGCTTGAACAAGTTTAAAGCCACAGACAGCCAGGGAACTAGCATATTCATAGGGAAGTCAGCAATGGCACACTCTGTGATTCTCTATGAACAGTTTTGTTTTGTTTAGGGCTCATTCTCAGCTCTTGCACTGGGTCCAGTCAAAAGGCCTTGTTTCCTATTGTGTCATTTCTCTTTCAGTAGCAGTTGTGTGCAATGAAAAAAAGTACTTTTGCCAGTTCCGTGGGTTGCAAACTACCACATCGCAACCTTGCTCTGTGAATAGAACTTTATGAAATGTCACTTTGACAAAAAATAATAAACAGTGCAATATGCCGAGAGTGCATGGATATTGCTCCTGCCAGTACACGCCAGCGGCCGTGCATTCAGCATAGCTCTCTGGTGTAATTGAAGCTGCAGAAACCAAAAAACAATAAAAACAGAGAAAATCAGCGCATACAGATCCCCAAATCCTATTGGCAAGGGGCACAAAATAAATGTTCATAAAGTCCAATGTCATAAATGCAATATAGTGCGTGAGTCCATATAGCACTAGGGCAAGCTCTTGTAGCTGCAGCAGGCTGTGTGTAAAGATAAGGAAGAAAAAAGCGCCTCTAAGTGCAGTATGTCACATTTATTGGGAAGCAATGTAAAAACGCTCACATCGTGTAAAAAGGCTCAGATAAGTGGAGTAATAGCTGAGTCTTCGCTGCAATAGCCGTGTCCACGCAAAGGGAGACTGTGGATGTCACAATAAAGCCGGCTGGCATGTGAAGTCTCTGAAGAAGGAGTCTGGAGTGCACCTTGGAGCGCGATGTCGGTGTCAGCGTGATGACGTAGGAGAGACCAGCATGCAAAGCGAAGCGTTTCGGAGCATGCGTTAAACCACTAGAGGGAGGAAGCGCCCTCCCTTCTCAAGCAATAAGAACCCACCCTGTTTAGATACTGACACTGGTGAGGATCGCTACTGTGACATTGCCCTTAGTGCTGCCTGAAGCAGAAGTTCAATCGTGCCCTCTCGTGTAAATGAGCCTTACTCACACAAATGAAAAGACCTGAGTCTCATCCTTTCTCCCTCCTATCCCTGCTCTGATCAGACATGTCTGTACAGTTTTAATGAAAGAGAGAGTCTGATGGAAAACAACTACAGTGGTGTTCTCTTTAGAAAATCCATTCTTAAGGCTAAAACCTGCTGTCAGCTGATGCCACTCAGCCAGTCCAGACTCTGGAGGGATCCCGATTTTAAAGTTTGGATCCACCAATTTAAGTACATAATTCCTGGGACTTTAAATGAGGCGCATCAGATACATATAATAACATAAATGGTACACATGATTACAATTTTATTCCATATATAGTAATTTCATCACAATAAAATCAAGTTAAAAACAGTATTGAGTTGAATGTAATATTTCAACATAACCAGTATTGCAACATACATTCACCCATAGTGTTCTTATGTAAAATGTACAGTACAGGCACTCTGCATCCGAGAGCTGTTTCATGGATCTTACTCCACTTCCTCAGGAGTGCATGCAAGGTACATAGCTACAATAAATAGATTGATGTCGGGATCCACCCAGATTCCTGATTGGCAGATGGCTCGGCCTCTCAGTGCACCGCTGACAGTTGCTCCCACCCCCTCCCCAGACTGGCACTCCAGTGAGAGTAACTGACAATCACAAGCTCTCTGCACTCTGAAGACTGAGAACTGAGCATTCAGCAGTGTTTGATCATTCAGTTCTCGGTCTTAGAGGCGGCGGGGAACAGATGCTGCATCCACCAAGGTGAGTATAATTGTTTGTTTCTTTAACTAGTTGCCGACCGCAGATAGCCGAATGACGGCTGCACTGCGGCCGGCCAGTTCTGAGAGTGGACGTCATATGACGGCCTCCCAGAACGCGCTCTCCTGCGCGCCCCAGGGGGCGCGCACCCGGCGATCTCCGTGATCGCTGTGTCCTACGGACACAGCTGATCACGTGATGTGGTAAAAGGCCAATCACAGCGGCCTTTTACCACGTGATCAGCGGTGTCCAATGACACGTTGATCAGAGGGAAATGCAAGTGCCGGTTCTCGGCTGCACTTTCCTCACGCTGTCAGATCGTGAGGAAAGTACTGCCAAGAACCGGCAGTTGTCATTGAGCGGGGATCGGCACCGATCATCAGGGCACTGATGATCAGTGCCCTGATGATCGGTGCCCAGCAGTGCCACCCGCAAGTTCCGCCCACCTGTGCCCAGCAGTGCGCCCACTATCTCCGCCCACCTGTGCCCAGCAGTGCACCCACCTGTGCCCAGCAGTGCACCCACCTGTGCCCAGCAGTGCACCCACCGGTGCCACTCTGCAGTGTCACACACCTGTGCCCAGAAGTGCCACCTACCTGTGCCCAGCAGTGCCACCCACCTGTGCCCACCCACCTGTGCCCACCAGTGCCACCCACCTGTGTCCACCCACCAGTGCTGCCCACCAGTGCCACCCACCAGTGCAGCCTAGCAGTGCTGCCAGTCAGTGCCACCAGTCAGTGCCAGGGGTTGTGCAGTCAGTGCCGCCAGTCAGTGCCCAGCAGTGATGCCAGTCTGTGCCGTCTATCAGTACCCATCATCAGTGTCACCTATCAGTGCCGCCTATCAGTGCTGCATATTAGTGCCGCCTATCCGTGACACCTCATTAGTGCTGTCTATCAGTGCCGCCTATCCATGCCACCTCATTAGTACTGCCTATCAGTGCCCTTTTGCCTATCAGTGCCCATCAGTGCCGCCTATCAGTGCCCATCAGTGCTGCCTCATCAACGTACATCAGTGAAGGAGAAAAAATACCTGCTTGAAAAATTTTATAATAGAAACAAAGAAACTTTTTTTTTTTTTTTTCAAATTTTTTGCACTTTTTATTTATAGCGCAAAAAGTAAAGTGCCCAGTGGCGATTAAATACCACCAAAAGAGAGCTCTATTTGTGAGAAAAAAAAAAAATGATCAAAATTTCATATGGGTACAATGTTGCATGACCGCGCAATTGTCAATCAAAGTGTGGCAGCGCTGAAAGCTGAAAATGAAATAAGGGGGTATAAGTGCCCGGTAGACAAGTGGTTTGTTTCTAAACCCTGAACCTCTCTTTTAAAAGTGTATCTGTAACATAAAAAGATATATAAATACTAGTGAAAAAAGATTGAAAGTGATTGTAAAGGCTCATTTTTAATTTTTGTAAAATAACAAACATGTTATATTTATCTGCTCTGTGCAGTAGTTTTGCACACAACAGCCCCAATCCTCCTCTTCTGGGATCCCTGCTGGTGTTTCTGGTTTACCCCCCCCCCCCCACTTGTTTCTTGCTTGCTTGCTTCTGAGCTGGCTCTGTGTGTCACTGGCTGTGATTGACAGCAGATGGAGCTAATGGATCCCATTGCTGTATCTGAGCCAATAAGGAAAGAGATAGCCTTTACTCGTATGTACATTGCTAGATCGAGATAGGAATCGGGTAAGAATAAGGAGGGGGGGGGGGGGGTTGCTGCACGCTGCATGAATGTAGAATGCATGAAGGTAAAAAACCTTCTGCATTTAGAACCACTTTAAAGCTGAAATCCAGGAACAAAAACTTAAGTTTCACTATAATCGTTAATAGCCAAAAAGGATATAAATCCACTTTGTGTGCAACAAATGACTTTTCAAACCAGTTCTTTCTATATAAAAGTAGTGGTGATATCATCACTGTGTTATACATAGCTTGAGCAGAGAACAGAGTTGTGGGAGGAGCCCAGAAGGTTCACCCACTATATGCTGCCTGCAGAAAATGAAAGGAGGAGACAAGACCAGTCCCCCTAGTACAAGGAAAGAGAACAGCAGTGACCAGTCTTTATTACAGGAAGACCCTGCACAATGGAAAAGTTTCTCACTGGATTACTGCACGGATTTGGAAGAAATACACAAAGCACACTAAGATTCAAATAAAACGCATGTGCTTCTTCTGTTAAGAAAATATTTGCTCATCCTGGAATTCAGCTTTAAATACATTTAAACCCTCATGAATTTAAAATTAAAATTTCCCAGTATCATAAGGGGGTGGCTTGCCTCTGTAAGAAAGCACAAACTATGAGGTTCGGATTCATTGTGAATCCAGCAGTTTGAAATTTTCTGCCAAGCCAACTTTTTTTCAATTATAATTACTGCATGACCTTTGATCCATGGCCAGCATGTGTAGAAGGGCCAAAAAGATAGTAGATAAACCAGTCCCTTTGCTATTAAAGAAGTAAGGGAGCACAGAGCAACCATGGTGAAAGTATATCATACTGTAAATCTGATGGAAGTAACGGGTAAGCTGACAAACATCATTGGGAGGGATTAGGGACACTTAGGAAACTGTACTTTAATTCTAAAGGCTATCTATTTGGGCCCTTTCACTCTGATGCGCTTTTGAAAAACTTCACCAAAAAGGCATGTGAGCAGGTGCAGTCCACTTCCTCCACTGCAGGTGGTGCGTGACCAGAGCGGTACTGCAGTTGGAGAGGAAGTCAGGAAATACCTGGCTCCTCTATGATTTCCTGGTCCCTGGAGGCAGCTTTCCAGTTGGCTATGCTGTATCCAGGTCACCCCTGGCAGCCATCTTGGGTCTGCAGAGTCTTTTTAAGACTGCTCCCAGGTTTTGCAAAATGGATAGGCAACGATAAGACTACATGTCTGACAGGGAAAGTGACTAGTGAGTAGGGGCAGGTTAGGGACATACCATCCTTCTGAGGAATCCTCACCACTTGGGTCCAGACTGTCCTGGCCACATTCTTTCTGAGACATCTGAATCTACTGTGTTCTCAAGTAACTCAGAACTGTGAGTGTTTCCCTGGCATGGTGTTCCCCCATGGGTTGTCTTTTCAGTTGAGCCTTTCCTTCAATACAAGTTCTTGCTCCTACAGCTGGACTCTGAATAGTTACTTCCCATAGTACGCTGCACCTACCCACAGGCACCTTCCATTGCAAGTCAATTGAGCATGCAGGGCTTTTCAAATTGCAGCACACCTGCAGTGTAAACAATTGCATAGGATTTAAAATGGAATAGTTTTCATGTATCACTCTGGAAAAGTGCTAACAAAGAACAGCAGTGTGAAATGGACCTACAGTGAGGCCAGCATTACACTGGTGTTTACTGTATATCTTTTTGCTACTGAGATATTTCACTGTTCGTCGACCGTTACCTCATTAGCATCACATTGATTGCATACAAGGTTACTGTCAATGATTATTTAAACCTGTCAGTAACAGACTTAATCATCAGTGTAGCCATATGCTTTATGTTGTATATAATCAAGTTTAATTGTTTTATTCATATGGTTTATTTTAAATATACTGTACATATATACATATGTAAACGCACACAACACAAACACATATATATAAAAAATATTCATACCCCTTGAAATTTTCCACATTTTTCATATTGCAACCAAAACAGTAAATGTATTTTATTGGGATTTTATTTGAAAGACCAACACAAAGTGGCACATAATGGTGAAGAGGAAGGAAAATGATAAATGCTTTTCAACATTTTTTACAAATAAATATCTGAAGAGTGTGGCGTTCATTTGTATTCAGCCCCCTTTACTCTGATACCCTTAACTAAAATCTAGTGGAACCAATTGCCTTCAGAAGTCACCTAATTAGTAAATAGAGTCCACTTGTGTGTAATTTAATCTCAGTATAAATATAGCTGTTCTGTGAAGCCCTTTGTTAGAGCACATTAGTGAACAAACAGCATCATGAAGGTCAGGGAACACTCCAGACAGATCAGGGATAAAGTTGTGGAGAAGTGTAAAGCAGGGTTAGCTTATTAAAAAAATAGCCCAAGCTTTGAACATCTCACGGACGGAGGACTGTTCATTCTATCATCCGAAAATGGAAAGAGTATGGCACAACTGCAGACATACCAATACAAGGCCATCCACCTAAACTGACAGGGAAGGAGAGCATTCATCAAAGAAGCAGCCAAGAGGCCCATGGTAACTCTGGAGGAGCTACAGAGATCCACAGCTCAGGTGGAAGAATCTGTCCACAGGACAACTGTTAGTCGTGCACTCCACAAATCTGGCCTTTATGGAAGAGTAACAAGAAGAAAACCATTGTTGAAAGAATGCCATAAGAAGTCCCATTTGCAATTTGTGAGAAGCCATGTGGGGGACACAGCAAACATGTGGAAGAAGGTACTCTGGTCAGATGAGGCCCAAAATTGAAAATTTTGAACATTTGGGCCTAAAGTAAAACACTATGTGTGGCAAAAAACTAATACTGCACATCACCCTGACCACACCATCCCCACCGTGAAACATGGTGGTGGCACCATCATGTTGTGGGAATGCTTTTCTTCAGCAGGGACAGGGAAGCTGATCAGAGTTGATGGGAAGATGGATGGATTCAAATACAGGGCAATCTTAGAAGAAAACCTGCTAGAGTCTGCAAAAGACTTGAGACTGAGGTGGAGGTTCACCTTCCAGCAGGACAACAACCCTAAACATTCAGCCAGAGCTATAATGGAATGGTTGAGATCAAAACATATTCATGTGTTAGAATGGCCCAGTCACAGTCCAGACCTAATTCCAATTGAGAATCTGTGGCAAGATTTGAAAACTATAAATTTATGATTTTGGACTTTCAAGGGTGAAAGTGGGACTTTTGAAGTGTCAATATATATAGGGTATTATATCACAATTTATTATAGATATAATTTTGGATACTGAATTTTATATCACAAGACTTGAAAACTGCAGTTCACAGATGCTCTCCATCCAATCTAACAGAGTTTAAGCTATTTTGCAAAGAAGAATGGGCAAATATTTCACTCGCTAGATGTGCAAAGCTGGTAGAGACATCCCCAAAAGACTTGCAGCTATAATTGCAGAGAAAGGTGGTTTACAAAGTATTGACTCCGGGGGGCTGAATACAAATGCACACTTTTCAGATATTTATTTGTAAAAAAATGTTGAAAACCATTCATAATTTTCCTTCTACTTCACAATTATGTGTTGGTCTGTCACATAAAATCCTAATAAAATGCATTTACATTTTGGTTGTAACATGACAAAATGTGGAAAATTTCAAGGGGTATGAATACTTTTTCAAGGCACTGTATGGAACTGTGTAGCCTTATAAAAACCTATGGTCATAGACAGAATAAAATAGCTTGGAGGATACTATCAAAAGGAAATGTACTGAAAGAAATACATAGGCTATCTTTGCTTACTGCCTTCTGTAAACTGTAGTTTAAAATATTGACTCAGTGGGGCTGAATACAAATGCACACTTTTCAGATATATTAATTTGTAAAAAAATTTGTAAAACCATTTATCATTTTCCTTCCACTTTACAATTATGTGCCATTTTGTGTTGGTTTAATATCACATCAAATCCCAATAAAAATACATTTACGTTTTGGTTGTAACATGACAAAATGTGGAAAAT